TCTCGTGGGACAGCGATAGAAGTCCTTGCTACAACAGATATTCACACTGAGACTGGCCCTTGAATTCTACCATAGCTACCAGCAGCCAACGACTGTCTGCTGTGTTGACTTTGCCACTGCATTTGATTCAGTCCATCGTGAATCCCTGTGGCGGATAATGGCATTTAATGGTGTATCACCAAAAATAATCGCCATTATCAAGGTGTACTACCGTTCCATCACTGTGCTGGTTCTGGTCTGTAAAAACCTTTCAGAATCGTTCGATAAGGCTGTGTCATGTCGCCCATTCTATTCAAGTACGTCACTGACTGGATTTTAAGGAAGGACCTACTTGAAAAGGAAGGTGTCGTGCTTGTACATGGACGCTGGCTGAGTAATCTCGACTACGCCAATCATATCGCTTTACTAACTTCAAGACTTAGCTATATAAAGTCTGTAGTGTCACTGGTGAATGAGATCGCTAAGTCACTTGGCCTGTCGATAAATACTGGGAAGACAAAGTTATTATCAAGCTGCATCCCTGACCAAGAGAAGGTACCCCTGTGAATTAATGGCCATCAACTTGAAAATGTGGACAGCTTTAAATACCTCGGGATAAGGCTGCTACCGAATGGACAGAGTAAGGAGGACATCGTCTCCCGAATCGATGCTGATCACCAGGCTTTCTCAATCCTCCGAAAGCGCCTAAGGATCCGATGCGACATCTTCATCGCTATAAAGATCCGTGTGTACCGCGCATCCGTCCGATCAGTCCTACTTTAGGGGTATTTGACCACCGCTGCCTGAGGACCATCCTTCGAATGCAGTATATCGACGTCGTCTCAGATGAGGCAGTCCACACTCGCTGCGACAGTATCGCGAGGATATATCAGGCCAGATAAGAAAGAGGACTAAGATGGTTTGGGCACGTTCTCCGTCGTCCGTCTTACGAGCTTTGCTATGCTGTCCTCGATCCGGCGCTGCAGCCCACCCGGAGGCGTCGAAGAGGAGAGAAACTCAAGACTTGGTTCGACACCGTTCGTCAAGACATGAAAGCTGTTCTGAGACCTTCGACTTTCGGTTTCCGTCTTTGGAGAATAGAATTGATAAAGCTTTCCAGATCCGCTGCCGCTAATCGCCACACGTGGAGAGGTACTGTCCGTGACATCAGTGAGGCCGGCTAGATCAGACATGATCACTGCCTTATCAGGGACAAGGAGTAATTAGTTGCTAGCGACGATCAAACTGTTGTACATAGAAATTGGATGTGTGGTATGCAATAGACATATGTTACTTTTTGCCATCCATTGGGCAAAGCTCCCACATGAGCTAGATGAAATTCAAGGAGTTCGGCATCCTGCGGTGGGTTTGCTGCTCTCTATCTTTCCTTGAGACTGCAAACATTAATTTCTTGGTTGTATAGTGATAACCGATAGCTTGATTGTGACGAAACACCTAGCCCCAATCGAAAATTAGCAGAAAATTATCATGACAGGCTGGTGGTTTGTTATTAATGGTTATGTTGCCCCCTGGAGTTCAGCAACTGACATAATTAACCAAGCCATGGATCTGCATCCCGCCTATCAGGCGCTTCGTACAAAGTTCGAGGAAGTTCAGATAGGGCCAATAAGACGGGCGATAAAAGTCAAATGGAGCCGACAGCCGACATTGGCAGAGAAAAGAGGAGTCGCCGATGGGAAGTCACGTGACCAGCTTGGCACAATCTTACCGACGCGCCCGCAAAGCCGAAAGCAGTACACAGGAACAACAACTACTGATTAATCAGCCGCCTGACGAGGGAGAGGCCGACAAGCACATTGAATTGGTGACAACCTCGACAATCGCAAAGGGGCACAAGTCATGCGAGCCCGCCAATGGTCGATATTGGAGAGGGCAGAAATAACTAACGGCTAACAAGCAGGCCAAAGTAATTGCATAGA